GGAAAAGAGGTGGTCATCCTGGAGGAACATCCAAGTGAGCCTTAAGATGTAAACAGAAGAATTTGGTGAGAAAAGGTTTACAAGGTTTACCCAGGAAGTCTGACTTGTGGTTTTGGGATATAATAAAATGAAGTTTAAGTGTCACCAGAGAAGAAGGAAGTCAGGAGCTGGCCAAAGATGAGAGACAGATGCCTTTGGACCATTAGGAAAGCACAAAAAAATGAGGCCCACAGAGTTTGGAGGAATCCAGAGATAGGCTAGGTTCATACAAAGCACCGTCTCAAACGTTCTCTGCATATTCCTAGCTGATTCTCTACTTCCCATGCCATGTAGAGGGGTATTCTCTGTCTTGCAAACCCTGGGCTGTGGCTTAGCATCTGTGGACCCAGCTAACTGTGGGGTACTAAATAAAGTATGATTAAGCCAACCTCGACTTAGCGTGCTAGGGGAACACAGCCTGGTCTTGAGATTGCACACAAGGGAAGAGGCTTTTAAGGGTTGCCAAGTCTGTGCCAGATCTCTGCTGTCATTTGCTGGAACTAATGGCTTAGCCATTAAGTTCAAGTAATTAATTAAGTTCAATTAAGCCATCAAGACAACATGAGCTAGAAACAGGATGAACCAGGTAGAACAGTCTATCCCAGTGTTTCTCAAGCTTGGGAACTTTAAGATGGGTGGACTTCAACTCCCAGAATTCTGGGAATTCCACCCATCTTAAAGTTCCCAAGCTTGAGAAACACTGGTCTATCCCATATGTGCGGCAGGTGGGGTCTTGGCAGACCTCAACATCTACACAGATAACAGTGCATGTAATATTTATTATTAATCCATTTATGCTCCAAGGCCCTACCAAGAATGCCTTTAAAGGGAGGCCAGTCTTGGTGAGTGCTTCTTCTGAATACCTCTCTGTATGGCGCAGAAAAGTAGAGGACCTGACTAATCAATGCTCCTCACCAGATTCCAAGAAAAGTAGATTTTTGCTGTTCTGCTGTAGAATCACAGTGCTTTTTCTCTTTCAACGAATTCCTCATCAAAGGAGCTTTGATGCTCCATTTAGCTACAGATGACAGAGAAGCAGGAAAGTAGAACTGGACATAACTTCCTAGAAATGCTTCAGTATTGATTGTCCTCAAAGACGTTCAAGGGATCTTCTTAAATATAGCTTCTCCCTGATGAACTTCAAATGTCCTCTTTCACCACAAGGTATGCTGGGAAGCTACCTGGGGCTCTACAAGGATCATCTCTACTTGTAATGCATTGTGGGAGATTTTAGTGTCATTATTGAAATTATGCAATGCCTGGTAGGAAATTCCTCGTTGCTTTTTCAAAAGATGCTGCACTTTTGAACCCAGATAATCATATGGTGGCAAATCGGATCCAGGTACTCCAATTATGGGGGTTCCTCACTGCCCATTTACAACTGAAATAGAACTTAGTTCAGTTTCAGTATCTACCATTTCATCTAGGCTTATGGATGAATTTATGGTTGCTTTAATTATTGTGTCCTGTCATTGACGTCCTGGTCCTATTTTATGGTTTTAACTTTTGTGGCTTTTCATGAAGTTGAACCTCCTTAACTTTTTTACCGTTTTAATCTTTGTAATTTTTTTCGTGGCTTTAGGTTTTGGAATTTTGTATGGGTTTCTGAGGTTGTTTTCTTGCTGATGAAAGGGAAGCTAAATAGTGTTATAAGCAAACAAACAAAATAATTGTCACTCTCTGCCATATACTTTGCAAAAATTCCCAATTGTTTCATCTCTCCTTGCAAGGCACACTGGGAAACAATCCCTACCTTCTTTTCCTGAACTGCATGCTGAGAAATTCCCCAGCGCACCTTTTCATGCTTGGAAGAAGTAATACATTGAAGCAGTCAGTTGCCTATTTTTGGTATGAGGGACAGAAACTCCTAATGATAATAATGATATTGTGATAGGTCAAATAATCGACTCTTTAAATACTACTCATCTTCCTAGGGAGAAAAGGAAACAAGGACTTACATAAACCAAGAAAATATGTATGGACTATTTTGTACTTGATTTTACTCGCTCACTATCCCTAGAAGAAAGCAAAGGCCAGTCCACTCTTGTTCAGACAGTCAAATCCCCTTTGTCAACAGCAATAGTGTTTGTTCTGTAGGAGCAGGAGTGAGATTGGCAGATCAAATGGGTCATAGCAAGGTTACCGCACCTGTGGTGGTGGCATCACCACCACCACCATCACCAAAGAGCAACAGGGAGACCTCTGAGGTTGTTGTCCATTTGTGTTGATGGTCCTCAGAGAAGACCCCCATTCTGGGAACATCTCTGAAAGTTTGGCTGTGTGGTGAGTCTAGCCAGAGAAGACAATCTGCTGAAGCAAGATACGGTTGCAAGCAACATACAAACCCCAGGACCTTCTTGGTGGTTTCTAGGATCACTAAGAATATGGCACCAAAACTCTGTGGCTCACTGTGGCATAGGAGTAGAATTATTGTCTACTACTCTTGTCTACCCCATTAGTTTGCTTTAGAAACAGCAAGGAGCCCCCTTACAATGTAACCGTGTCTCTCCATGACATCAAAACCATTCTAGGTAGCAGCTGTGGCCCTCCATGGCCAAGGACATAGTAAAACAAGCAATAACCAAAAAATAACATAGCTCCTGGTTGCCAAAGGTCCCTTCCCCTGGATTTATTCAAATGGCTGTTAAAGGATGGATCAAGATTTCCAGGGCCAAATATGGTTTAAAGATTAAGAGTAGTGGTTTCATTTCTAAAGCATCTGGAAAAGTGGCATGAATCCACTGTCCCGTTTTCTCCACTGCCATTCCTGTCCTATCAGTAGCAAGCAGTGGCTTCTCCCCCTCCCACACCAGAAATGGTTTACTAAAAGTTATAGAGGAAGAAACAAACGACTTGATCTACAACCATGGACTCCTGCTTGTCATTTAGGCTTGAGGATTCTCTGCTGAGATCTCCAGATTGTCCTTTGGACAGAGTTGCTCACAGACTGCAAAGCAGGCAGAAGATCTAGTGAGGAGCCTACATTGCCTTTATGATTTTACATGAGAACAGATTATTTCGGATTGACTTACATGCAGACATTGGGCCAGAGTTTGCTGGATAATCACTTGTTCAGACACAGTGTCAACTCCAGTGACGTATTTCTCCAAACTCCACCCTCTTCTCGAAGACTGTGAAAAGATGGATTGATCCGTGGCCTGGGGGACTCCTGTTCCCTCTGTAAGGGCCTTTCCTCACTTACATCTAATGACAATATGGATGTGACCTAGTAACCACTTTTAGTGGCCATATTCCCATGATGCTGGTTTTATGTCATTCCCAGTCCATATTTAAATCAGCTTTAAGTTACCCTTATTTGTTCTGGTGGTAAAGTAGCATTCTCCCTTTTAAGCAGCCAACTCTAGTGGAAACAGGGAATGGCCTTGAGGGACAAGAGGAAGAGCCGTTACCAAAACAACAATCAAATAAAAGAAACCTGAGTCCAGGGCAGAACTGTAACCTGAGAAAACATCTCAGATGAGACCCTCCTTAGTTTTCATGGAGATAAAAGCGGGGGGGGGGGAGGGGAGTGCATTCAGACTTGCAAGATTCTGTTACTATAATCTTATAATAAAAGGAGTATTAGCATGACTTTGGTTTACTAGTCTGGTCTGCCTTGTTGCTGGCACCAACAAGCTGTGGCAGTGTTACTGTGGGTACAAACTGATGCAGTTTACCAACCATTTTGTCAATGGGGTTGTCAGATGACCTAAGGAGAATGATCAGCCTGGCATGTATTGACCGCTTAAAGCTGATGTGGAAACCCCTTCTGGCTCTATCCTCTAGGGCCATTCTACTTCAGGCAATGGGAATCTTTCAAACTGAGCTCTGGCCTTGTACATGCCACGTCTCTGAGCTAGCTTGGAGACGAGCATTAGTTCAAAGCAACAGTTGACTGGTTGTGGTGGTGGAGTGTTGCACAGTGAAGCAGGAGATAGATGGCCTTTTCTGTGCCAGTTCATGGGACATCCCTTCTGTTGTTCAGGCTGCTTTTGAACACAGTTTTAGCCCTCTTCTGAAAGAGCCCTGAACTCATGTTCAAAAGCAACCTGAAGCACCTCTGACAGGTATTGCGGGGAGCTGTGCTTCGACATGGAAGAGCCAGCTCAACCTATCTCCCTCCTTCCTGTCAGTTGTGGTTTGGTTTGTCATCTGTTTGGGATAATCCAAGTCTCCAGGAATTGGATGTACAGGGTCTTTTCTCCAAGCCCAAGCAGCTGAGTTCTAGGCTGGGAGAGGTGGTGGGTGAACAGAGTGCAATTTCTGACAGATGGTTAAATCTGTGGGTTTACCCATCTGTCATAATTATTGCTGATTACCACAGTGCGGGTGGCATTGAGCAAATGCTCTGCCTGGATATGAGGACACCATCCTCCAGCTGCAAGCCAGAACAGAGACAATGGGAGAACAAATCTATACCATCTTATATTTCTCTCCCTAGATGGAAGAACAACACAGTAACTGAGCCAGAAATAAGCGCCCTAAAATTGCCTAACCTAACCTATTCCTTGCTCCAGTGAGAAGACAGAAGGATGAACACAGGTAAAATGCCTTGTATGAGCAGATTTGAAGGTGTCAGGATCATGCCAAATTATCTTGGAGTTTTCAGCAACTGGGTTCTGTAATCTGTCAACCAGGATTTGGGTCCCTTTTTGCAAAACAGGAATGTTATTCATAAACCCAAAGCCAAGCTTTCTACCCATCACAGGAAGGATCGTATGAACCCATTCTTTGATGCAGCCTTTTTCACATCTGTTTTTAGAAGACAACAGCATTGATGGCTAAAATAGGGACTGGTATTTTTAGGAGCTGGTTAACACAACACACTAAGCCATAACATCTTGGGTTGGATTTTAGCTTATTGTGTAAAGTTTGGAAACATGGCTTGTTGCTTAATATATAAAGCCACAATCAACAGATAGATTATTCAGTAAACAATCGATGAGCAAACCATGGTTTAGTGCAAAGTGTGAACCAATTCATTGTTTGTGTTTAGACAATACATTTAAGTAAAGACATGGTAGATACATTAAGCAAATATGCTAAGCTGGGGTTAGTTGTTTAGTTTTGTGGCTTACCATGTATCAACCCAACCTATTTGCTTAGCTTATGTTATGCACACCCAGGAAATTGATTAATTCCATAACCAGGCTAAGTGTGTTATATGAATGCAGCCATTAAATACTTGTGCCTTCTTTCCAAACATCCACATTTTGGTTCCTGTCCTCCTTTTGAAATCAGCCAGCCCATAACTGCAAAAAGGCACTGACTTGTGGCCCGAATTTATGAAATGCTGATAAATCAATGTTTGTTTGCCAGTGATTTTTTTTCTTTCATTCTTCTGATTTGTTAATCCAAAACCAAGGAACATTGCAACTTAAATGTTGTCCTTACAAAAACAAAGAGAGACATAATAGGAGACTTTGTGATTCTATGTACAGGTGGGGTGGGGGGCATTGCACTTAATTTCTTAATACATCCATTAGACAACATTAACTTTTTTTTAATATAAATCTCTGTGGATAGGCATTGGGGAGAGGAGGGAAGAGCCAGAATATGGAGTTCCTCTATATACAGTTCAGTTGGTTCAGTTCAACAGCACAGATGGCTCCTCCTTTGGAACCTGACACAACAGCCCCAAGTCCTCTCTCTAGTCCTCTTCAGTAGAAGAATGTAACTTTATAAATATGATTGATCTCCAGCTTTACGTTCTTTCCAAGCTTCTCATTCAGCATCCCTTTTGTTCTTGTGTTTGTAAGAAACAAATATCCTCAAGAAGGAAAATACTTTGACATCCTTAAGACAATAAGTCTTGGAAAATACTATGGGAAATGCTCAGTCTGGCAGACACTGTTCTGGACCCCTTAAAACAAGTCACATCAGCTGCTGTCTTTTGGAACTTCTAATCCGCTCTCCAGGCTGAGCAGGATCTCTTTGGGATCATGCTAAGCGAGCTGCTCAGGCTTTGCTACAGCAGCCCCAAGATCTCATCATGGTCAGGCAGGACATTGTGGAAGAATAATTTCCAGTTGCGAAATGCACAGGGATCTGGGTGAAGGATCACCAGGCTTGTAGTGGACACTGGAAAAAAGGGAAGAAGATTACAGAGATTAGAATACAAGGCAGTGTCTTAGAACAGGATGGATCAAGGCTTTTGGGGGTGCCTGTAACTCATCAAACATCCTCTGAAATGACTGGGTTCCCATCATTTTGAGGCAGGAAACACAAAACTGAAATATAAGCTCTAACATAATACACACTTGCCTGTATATAAGCTCCATGGGGGAGCAGATCAAAGCAGACAAAGATGGCAGTTGAAGCAGCATGATTAAAGCCCCACCTCTATTGTATCAGTGTCAACATCACACAGATGTACAAAGAGGTGGCTTTGATCGCCATCTTGTCTGTTTTGACCCCCGTGTGAACACCATTGGATAATCCCTCAATCTCCCCAAAATCTGAGTGAAGATAACAGAAAATCCCATCCCATTTATCTCATTTTCAGTATTAACCTGCTCTAGATGACACTGTCACTTGATAAAAGCAGTCCCCACCCCCAAAAGATTGGCCATCCCTATTTTGGGGCTCTTCCTGATGGCTGAGTTAAAGGGCTGTTCACTCGTTCTTAAGTTGGCAGAAAACCTGCTGCCTCTTGCTGATGATCCCTACCCTGGCACAGGCATGATGCCACCAAATGGTACTGTTTTTATTTATGGTGTACATGGCATGTTAAGGACCAAGACTGGTGGCTGATTCTGGCTTTGTTTCCCTCCCCTCCCACTAAACACTCCCTGTTGGTGAGAAAACATCTACCAGTCATGGTCCTTAATGTGAGATAGGGCTGCAGCTTAAGCTGGGGAGGAAGTGAGTTTGGGCAGATGGTTTTGACCAGCAGAGCAACAGTTAGAATCAGTCATGGAACAACCGATTGGTTCAAAATAGGGACAGGAGTACGACAAGGCTGTATACTGTCACCCTGCTTATTTAACCTATATGCA